CCTCCTGGCAGAAGGCGACGAAATTTCCGCCCTCTCCGATCAGCCTTGCTCCACGGCTGGGCGAACTGAACTTGAAGCACCGCAGTCACTAGAGCCACTACAAGGCGACCCATGAAGCACACAGTGTTTGTTCACAACAGAGGGGGGTTTCCACGAAGATGAGGCTGAATCATGGCAGGTAGCTGCGCGAACTTCTGGATTCGCTCCGTGCACGCCCGGCAGTTCCCTGACAGCACGGCAGCGCAGTCAGCCACCTCGCCTCGGTTGGCCACCTGTCACCAGCGAATACGCTTGCAAAAGCACCGAGAGCTGTGGCTGCAACAAACCAGAATGTCCATACTCGTGACGAAAGTATTATCAATGATCATAAGAAAAATTATAATAGCAACCAACTTTTTGTGAAGTGCCTGCTTGGGCTCCAAGCAGAAGAGCAGGTTCGCGCCGGGGGCTTCCATGCGACAGCCGTCCATGCGGTTGATCTCAATCGCGTCGTAGGCCTTCTCAGTGTCCTCATTCGGCTTGGCCTGCAACTTCTGATAAATGGGTTACTCAAGGGATCCAAATAGCCCAAAGTATTGTACCCTTATAATGGAGAATCAAATGGCTAATCGAAAATGAAACTTGGAGCTTACATAGGGGTGCCGTTTAGATATTCAAGCTTCGCGTCAAGCCCCCACCTCGGACACCACAAACCAGCCGTCGAGGCTCACTAGGCCCCCTCCGGTTCGGCGGGTTCGGCGCGGCATGGCGGTCGTCCTCTGACTTCCCAATGCCCAAATTGCTAGCTTTGAGATGCTTCGGCAGCGGACGACCTACAGGTCAACCCACCTCAGAAGCATGCTTGCTGAGGCGTCTGCTTGCAAACTCTTTTCAGAGAAGGCACATGATAATCTCAGTTTAAAGACCTTACACAATCCCCATACAGCTCCAGCTTCGCTTTCAGTTTTCATGATTTTCCATTTGATTTCTCATCATTACCCTAGACCCCTACTCAAGGATGCAGACATCCAGGCCTGGGGCTGTCAGATGGATCAGCCGGAGCCTCACACAAGTACCTTTGGCTAGCAGGGAATGAATTTAAACCCTAAACCCTAAACCCTGAACCCTGAACCCTAAACCCTAAACCCTAAACCCAACCCTAAACCCCATCTTCAGGGAATGGGAACGAAGAGTCAAGGAGCTCTAGTACTGTGGTCTATGTACGGGTTAGGGTTTAGGGTTTAGGGTTTAGGCTGGGTTCCCATGGGCTCCCATACGAATCTGCTCCTTCATTCCTTGCTGATTAGAGGTAGGAGCTCGGACCCACCCCGCACAGACACGAAGCGTTGTGTGCTGCCCCCCACCCCTGTAACAGTCTATATTAGGAGTCATATCAAGGGCTACATATGAGCCATTGTCTAAACTCCTAGTATCCCCCTTAGTAACCCCTATAATAGTCCCCTATATAATCCCCTATGTAACCCTTTTTTGAAGGAGTTTAGAGTATGGCTCATATAATAACTGTAGTGCAAATATTATCCTACTGTTACAGAGTGGGGGCAGTATCCTACCTAAGCGACTTAAGGATTCAGGGCTTCGTAGGCAAGTGACCAACCATTAACCCTGATCCCCAAATGCCTAGATCCTAATCCCTTAACCCTAAACTCTAAACCCGAATCCATAACTCCTTAGATCCTAAACCCTAATTCCCAAACCCTAAACCCTAATCCCTAAACCCCAAAACCTCAGAAACTGCAGGTGCAACGCCTTAGACTGCTCGCACCTGTTGCCAGCGTAGAAGAGAATGCCATGTCAATCCGCTCGGGCGATGGGCTTAGCGGTTAGGGTTTTTAGGGTTTAGGGTTTATGGCTCTGTTTGGATTGAACTCTTACAGTTTCTCTCCCACAGTTTCTGGCGGTAAGTAAGGAATGAAGGAAAATGGGCCGCTCGAGTACAGGGCAGTTTTGGGGGAAGTGTGTTTGGGACTGCTATGGTATGGGAACTCACTTCTCCAATCCCTACTAACATTAAGTAAGTTTGAGGGTCAGCAGCACCACACCACTGCAATCGTGTTTTTTTCGGGATACCCGAAAGCAACCTTGGGATTTGTGGATTATGGTGATAAGTGGATTTGGGTTTAGATTTTCGGGTTTAGGGATACCTCTGATGGTAAAACTCCCAGCTTCTGTTTCAAGACGCTGCCCCAACAGGGGAAAACAAGTGAGCCTTGAGCAAAATGTCTGCATGGAATGTGCCGTTCTCTGTCGCCCCTACCAGGTTTAGGCTGATTAGGGCATTTCCCCTTATACAGGCACAAATATCGCAAATGGTAATAGAAGCTCTGATAGTTTCCTTCATAAAAACCCTTTAAGGATAGTTACAGAGAGGGGGAGCGTGGCTAGGTTTGGCATCTTATCTTGAGGTTTCGAGCTATGTATGATATTTCTCGTGCCCTAAACCCTAAAACCCTAAAGCTTCATCCAGCAAGGTGACCAGAGAGGCCTACCGGTCCAAGTAGACAGTGCTGCTAAACCCTTTCCCACTCCCAGGATTAAGGCAGATATGTAGCAAAATGCTGTAGAGTTGTAGGGTTTACGGTTTGAACGCAGATATATCGCTATGTTCAGTATCACCCACACTATGCTAACACAATGGAGAATCAACCAGAAAAGAAAATGGAACTTTCAATGAGCGGGGGTCAAGATTCTTGTCGGGTTTCTTTGACGGTAACGAATTTGCTTATGGTGGCTTACCAAACCCAGGGACCCAAGGTTTAGGGTTTAGGGGTTTAGGGTTTAGGGGTTTAGGGTTTTGGGGTTTAGGGTTTAGGGTTTTGGGGTTTAGGGTTTAGCTTCTCTTGACAAACGCTTCCGGCGCTTACGGCGGCAACGCGGGATAAACATAACATGTTGCCAGTAAAACCAACCGACAAGTACCCCAAATTAGAGCTTACGGCGCAACAGTCGGAACGATGTTGCCTACGGTATCTTACTAAACCCACACATTTGCTTAAGGCAAGCTCCTTGTTGCCACTCACCAAGGGGCTTCCCACTGAAGGATTTTGATCTCTGCTCAGTTGAATGGAAACTGGGATGGCATCTAGGGCTTCAGGGCCAGGAAGGCGCATTGCGAAACACAAGTGTTATCCATGACGCCAGGCAAACCGGGATATGTTGTAACCTGATATCCATGACACCAGCCAAACGGGGATATATGTTATAGCCTGTTTACAAATTGAATGCTTTCCTACTCAGCCCAGGGTTGAGCAGCTGCTGGTGCTGCTGCTGCAATCTGCTGCAGCTGCTGCATCGTGTCTCAAAAACATTGTGCGCATGATCCTGCGTACTTACAGTAAGACTTACAGTTGGGACGCTACACTTCACACTTTATGGCGTACTAAAATCTTCACTTGTCCAACACGAGGTCCTGAATTTAGGAGTTTCTGAACATCAGGTTACCCCAGCTTTCCGCTAAGAGGGTTATGTTTCAGAAGCTCCCGCTTTCGTTCATGGAATGGTCTTGGACTCAAGAAAGCCAATGTGACAGCTTCTGCGTCTAGCCGGTGTCAATGGTCACAGGGCCTTTGGGAATATGCCAAGAGGTGTAGTAAGGAAATTCCAGAATTGCAGGTAGCGACAAGGCGGGCACCGCGGTATGCATGCTGCGGTAAGCAGGGGCCGAACATCTCAGACTGGAGACTTGGCTTGCAAAGGTTTGGGTTTAAGATTTAGGGTTTAGGATTTAAGGTTTAGGATTTAGGATTTAGCATTTAAGGTTTAGGGTGCTATTTTTTGTCATTCATCAGTGAGCTACTGCGTTCAAGAGATGATGCCGCAAGCAATCAGCTGCTGGCTCGGAGTTCAAAGAGAAAGAAGCAACCCGATGCGAGCCCTTCAGTACGTGGCTTCTGAACAAATCGTTGGCAGGTTAGTTCACTTGGACACCCCCCCATTTGTGGAAACTTCCACTTTTATGTGCTGCGCACCGGGATGTCTGCAAGGGGGCACCGTGAGAGCACGACAAGCAATCTGCTGACATTGTGCTTTGGTGCGCAGAGGCCCGGCACCGGAGTAACATGATGCAAGCGGATCACAATATGGTTTAGGGTGCTCTGGATGCTCGAAGTTCATGTGAATCATGCTTTTGAGGGCAGTCCTACTATTTCCTGCGGGATTTCTGTATCACCATGTGAGCTATAGTCTAAACTCCTAGTATCCCCCCTGAGTAGCCCTTATGGTAGTCCCCTATATAATCCCTATATAACGCCCTTTAAGGAGTTTAGACTATAGCTCATGTGATCCAGTCACTCCGAAGGCTGCCTCTGTGACAGGACAGTCACCGTCCCACAGAACTACACAGGAGAGCCCTTGGCAAGATCCTCTGTGAGGAAATGCTTTAAAGGCGCTGCCAAAACTTAAAAGTTGTTTTCTGATGCCCTACTAGGCTGTCAACGCGCGGCATCGGCGCTGAAGTGCCGCTATTCTTGCGGTGCCAGCCGTTTGGGGCACAGTGTCGCTCAGCAAGATGGGCTGTCCCTGGACAAGTGTCGGCTGGGAGATTGAGGCCAAAGCGCAGCTGGGGGGAAAGAGAACCAGTGGCTTGGGTACTGTCCCCAACAAGTAACAGTCCATAATAGGGCTAATATTAATGGCTAATGGCTACAAGATTGCAACTCCATGATAGATTCTTATTCAAATGTTACTGGGTGGGGGCAGTACCCAGCCTACATGCGGGCTGCCTGTCAGCTCGCATCTCTCAATGATGCCCATGGCCGTGATCCTTGCAGAGCACTCAATGTCCATGGTCCACACGGGGGGGTTCCCAAAATTAGGGGTACCCTTGTAGTGGTCCCTATAATAAAGGTTAGAGTATTCGGTCTATATTAGGGTCCCCCTAGTTCAGGAAACTACCAAACCGGATTCCTAAAGTTTCCACTAGCTAAGGGGACATGCTGTGCAGTTGTGAGCCATCACCCAGCCATGCCTGCACAGAACAACATGCTGAACAGCCCAACTTTACTGCCCCAGCACGTCAACATGGGGGTTTCCGGCAATTAGGGATACAGTACCTTTTTGGGGGTCCATATAATGAGGGTTATACTGTTTGGGGGTCCATGTTGGGGTCCCTCT